TATATGTATATGTGAGTTGGTGGCCATCTTGGATTTTGGCATGGCAACCCAGATTTTAACAGTGACCGTCCTGATGCCCAGATGCAGCCACACACCCAAATGGAAGTCAACAAGTTGGTTATTTTTGAAGTTATCATGCCAACAAGGTTTATACACATATGTTGGCAGCCATTTTGGATTTTGACGTGGCGACCCTACTTTTGAAGGGAACCTTTCTTACGCCTAGCTGTAACCACACATCAACATGCACGATGGGACAGACAGTATTTCTAATTCCCCCTCTTCGCTCAGCAGCGGGAGTCAATAAACTCGATGAGAAAATGTCGTCACCGTGATCAGAACTAACACAACTAACTCCCAGCCTGCAGGGTTCAGAGCAGCAGAGAAACGTAAATTTCAGAACTTTTATTATCAACAACGCCTAACGAGCTGTGTTCAATCAGACGTGAGACGGTTTAGAGGAAGGGAGGAAGCAGCTGACTCCACCCTGACGGCGTCTTTCAGACTAATGGTTTCCACTCAGCCTCTTACCTCTGTGGATGACTTGCAAATTGCTGTGCAGATGCTCCAGAGCTTTCACTATCTGTAACAACGAAGAACATTTATAAGCAAATGAGAGTTACATAACGACTGTGTGTCAGTATGTTGGACTGGAGCTTCACAGGAAGTGATGGGAGAGAACGCACCGAGACGGCGATCTTTCCCAGGATGTCCTCGGGGATGGTCAGGCCCTTCTCGATCACCTTCTTGTAGAACTTGTCCAGGGAGGTGTCCATCAGCTCCATGCAGATCCAGACGTCGCCCTGGCAACAGACGGAGAGGGGGAGGTTTTGGAAGAAGATCAGGATTAAAAATATATAATAAAATAAAAAATAAAAACCCTGGTGAACCTAAGCAGGCAGGAAGCTGCAGAGTGTGAGTCAGAGGAAATCCTGAACATCCTGAACATTTTTCTGCATCCGAACCTCCTCAGAGGTGTTTTTATTCACAGAGGAGAGACCCTGAGGTTCTGGTCCCGCTGCATGTCAGTGATGCGTGTAGGCATACAGAAATCATAATAATAATTAAACTGCTTTATTAAATTGTCTTCTTTTACTGATGTTGATTTAATTCCACAGGTAAGTTCTGGGAACTTGAATATTTTGTGTTTTGCCATGAATAAAAATAAAGTTGTGCGACTGTTAACATTAGAGCCTGACTGATATATCAGTAGGGCCGATATATCAGTAGGGCCGATATTATAGGCCGACATATCAGTAGGGCCGATACATCAGTAGGGCCGATATATCAGTAGGGTCGATATATCAGTAGGGCCGATATTATAGGCCGATATATCAGTAGGTTCGATATTTCAGGCCGATATATCAGTAGGTTCGATATTTCAGGCCGATATATCAGTAGGGCCGATATATCGGTAGGGCCGATATATCAGTAGG